TTTTAGGGTGCAGGATTTAGGGTTTAAGGGTTTAAGGGTTTTAGGGTGCAGGATTCAGGGTTTAAGGGTTTTAGGGAGCAGGATTTAGGGTTTAAAGGTTTGAGGGTTTAGGGCGCAGGATTCGCAGGATTTAGGGTTTAAGGGTTTAAGGGTTTTAGCGTGCAGGATTTAGGGTTGAAGGGGTTTAGGGAGTAGGGTTTAAAGGTTTCAGGGTTTCAGGGTGCAGGATTTAGGGCTTAAGGATTTTAGGGCTTTAGGTTTTTTGTAGTTTAAGGGTTTTTACGGGTTTGGGGGTGTAGCCCCTATATCCCACATCCATATTTGTTTCTAAAGTTGAATGCTCATTTCCCGAAAATCCGGAAGCCTCGGCCCATTTTTATGAATCTCGAAGATTGAGGGTTTAGGGTTTAGGGTTTAAGGTTTGGGGTTTGGGGTTTAGGGTTTAAGGTTTAAGGTTTGGGGTTTGGGGTTTAGGGTTTAGGGTCAGTTTCAATTGAAAACAAACTCAATAATTTTTGGCGTTCGGCGTTCTTGAATGCAATGCGCCCGCCTGCAGAGGTCCAAAGGCCTTCAGAGGCCTGCAAAGGCCTCCAGACGGTTCCAGACCAGACCTACAAAAGCCTGCATCCATGGGAGCCTCCAGAGACCTCCAGAGGCCTCCAGAGGCCTCCAGAACCCAAAATCCAAAACTCAAAAATTCAATACCCAACATCCAAAGCCCCAAACTCTTAAGCCGCAAAAAACATTCCAATGGCCCCATGACTTCTTAAATAAACAGATAGGTAAATAGATAAATGCATGTATACATACATGGGTAGACGGGTTGAGGGTTTGGTTTTGGGGTTTAGGGTTTTGCTGGACCTCAGCTTTGACCCCAGGAGAAGATACTCAGCTATGCCATGCTCGCGGCCCCTAGCTGCTGCTGCTGTGGCTGGATGATCATCCTGATGTGCGAATCTGGACGAGGGTTATGCAGAGTTTTACCATGAGCTATAGTCTAACCTCCTTGAAGGGGGTTATATAGGGGATTAGATAGGGGAGCGTTCTAGGGGTTATTAAAAACATATTAAACATTTAGATGGTAGCCTACATGTGCAAGAATACTTTAGTTCCGCACTTGACAGGGAACTTCTTCAAAAAGCCCTATACACCAAGACCCTCAATCCCAGGCAGGGAAAGGCCGAAGCTCAAACCAGTGAATTTCCCAGTAGTTTCTTGTGGCTACTATTCTACATAACTCCGATGTTTCGTAATGGCTCCCTACACACTTAATCTTGAACCCTAAGCCGCTAAATCCTAAACCCTAACCAAACCCTTAAACCCCTAAACCCTAAATCCCAAAACCCTGAAATGCTAAATCCTAAACTTTAAACCGCTCTAGCTCAGGCCTTCGGGATCCACAGCATGGGAGACTTTGCAAGGAAGGCCAATGCATGGGACGACAGAACCGCGTGGCCTGGCATATTGGGTTTAGGGTTTAGGGCTTTTGGGGCCTAGGTATTATGGCTTAGGGGCTTAGGGTTTAGGATTTCGGGCTGGGGGTTTTGAAGGCTTAGGGGCCTCCTTTGCAGAGTCCGTGTACCAGGGTTTATGATACTGGGGCTCTGTTTGACCTCCCCGCGCTTTCGGCAACCCTAAATGATTACCAACATTGTAACAATCAGGTTCAATTACATGGACAAGAAACTGGAACATGAAATGGACACTGGGTTTGTATGGGTATGTATTTTTTAAATAGGGTTGATGCTAAACATCACAAAAGGGCTGGCGACTATGGGTGCTGGTTGGAGGCTTAGAATTTCTTGCTTGATCCGGGCTAGAGGGTTTAGGGCCTTTGCAAGCTAAGTTGGCACCCGGTTTTGGAATTCGTTCAGAACCCGAACACCTCCTCCTGCAGCATTGCCTGGTACACAGTCACCCCCTTACCCCCCCCACCCCCCACCCCATCCCTTTTAACCCCTCTCTGCATCTCCTATGCTTCATGAAAACGCAAGCATGCGACATGTGTTTTACATTCCACGGTTTTCAACATGTGCATGGGGAGCACTGTGACCACTTTTGTTATTGCTCATCCTACTCCTGCTGCCAGCATGACTTCATTACCACAGTTACTGGAAGTCTTGTCGCTTAGTATAACTGTGGTTAATTTGGCTTTGGGTACTCTACCTTGTACTATGACACCACACGGCAGCATTTGCAAGCTGAAGCAAAGCCTGTATTTCCATGGGTCCCACAATACCTACAGTGACCCTACACCCCGTGTTTCAGAAGTTTCCACGAGTCAGAATCAGGCCACCTTGATGCTGGAGAACCACGAGAGGGCCATTGTTTTGAGACATGCGCTCAAATCAACCCACTTGAACTCCTGCTTGTTCTGAGAAACCAAAAGCCCCAACCTCCAAAGTCTAAACCTTCACGAGACCCCCAACCCTTGACCCTTTGTAAGCCAACATCATATAATAGTAATAGTACTATAATATTGGGGTTATAATGGGATAATGGAAAACAAGATGGAAACTACTATAATATGTTGGAGTTCCTAAAATTAGGTGTACCTACCCTCCGAAGGTGGCGGCAGACAACTTGTGAAGTCCTCGCAGCCGGCGTGAGCTGTGCGGACAGAGACACCAGGACAGGCTGAACAGTCAAGGATGTCACAGGAGGGTTTAGGGTTTGGGGTTTAGGGTTTAGGGTTTAGGGTTTGGGGTAGTAGGAATACCAAATCACTGGTCGTCACTGCTAATTCTGGGGCGGGGTACTTCTCATGGATCTCATTGAAGTTGTTATGGCGGTTTCTTTTTTTGAGCTGAATAATCAAGAGCCTTGTCTTCTGAAGACCCGCGCAGAGATTTTCCAACCTTGGTAGTTTTCAAGGCCCAGACGAGAATCGGGAACAATGGAATGGAACAATGGGGATCATTTCGGATGATTGGATGGGACAAAGAGAGGGGGGCACTTTCAATCCTAAACTCCCATGACAGGAGATGGACATGAGATCGGATCGTGACATGTCGTTGCAATGTGGCTACATAATAACCCTAAACCATTAAGCGCACGGGCCATTTTCAGATCCATGTTGTAAAGCCCCCGCAGGGTAGACATGGTCTTGAGAAGCGCCTGTGATCAAGGGGATTCCGTGGAGTCGATGAGGGATGATATCATGATGCGTTACTCTCGCCTTCAGAGTTTGGGGCTTTCATGCGACTTGCATGGGAGAGGGTATGCGAATGAAGGGAGTGCTTTGGGAATCTGTAGCAGGAAGATAGGTGTATTTGCTTACATTTTCTCCCTGGAACCTTTGTGCCCCCATCAAGCCCTGAACCCAGAACCCCAAGCTTTAGAGCCTTGCGCCTGCCTTGGTGGGCTTTTCGTGCTGCGGTCGAAAAGAAGCGCAGCAAACAAGAAAAACGGCCTGAACCTGAAACTCCACGCAGTTACTGCACTTCTGAGGGGTGGATCATGCCTTGGAGACAAGGTTCGGCACTCCATTTCCCCTGTCCAGAAACCCAAAACCCAAAACACTAAACCCAAAACCCTAAACCCTAAACCCCTAGACCCTTTCCCCTGTCCAGGAGCACCTGCAGGGGTTACAAGGAAGGCGCAATGCCGCCCTCCAAGCCTCCAGTCTTCTTGACCGAGCAGACGCGCTTCTGCATGTGAGTAGATATTGGGGTTATATTGGGATAATAGAAAATAAGATGGAAACTGCAGGGATTATAGGTATAATATAGGGGATTCTATGAGTAGTTGTTAAAATTATGGTCCCTTTTTGGGGTGCCCTAAATACTAGGTGCCGTATTAAAACAAGG